CGTGACAAACAGGGCATTTGGTGATGCCAGCCCACGGTGGCAGCTTGCCAGGGGCTGTCCATGGGCTCTGAGTGGCTTTTTGAGCTGTTGTTTCCTCCCACCCCCTCTCCAGCAGCAGAATCCTGTCCTGGGTGCATTTCTGGGGAAGGCGCTTTCCTGGGAAAGGTGTTCAGCCTTTCCAGCTGCCCCTCAGGCCCTGCAGGGATGCTCAAGGGACCTGTTCCAGCTTCATCAGGGGATTCCAAGGGTGCCACCACTCCTCGTCCTCTGTTCAGGCACAGTCAGCAATGCAGGCACAGCAGGGATGATGCTCTTTCCTCAGGGCACTGTGCTCTGGCAGATCGAGGCCAGCAGGAATTCTCTGGCTCCAAGAGCTGGACAGGGATGCAGCAGAAGGCTGATGCTTGCTGGAATAATTCCTCCCCTTCCTCCCTGGTTTATTTTGTCTGAATGAGGCTGCTTTCACCAATTCTGGAAACAAATGAGAGAGCTCTGACTGGGGAACTGGCTGTTTGCTAGAGCTGGCTGGGAATTTTCCTACGAGTTTGGGTTTTGTATGCATGGAAAAGAAATTATTCACTGAAACGTCAGTTGAGGGACATTTACATGACAGTTTTAAGGACAAAGCCCTGTTTTCCCTGGTAAATTAATACCTTTGTGATTGAAGTGCTAATTTGGAAGAACCAGGTTCTATCCAGCCACTTGAATATTGCTTGATTGCAAGATTCATTTAGAGGAAAAACCTGTCAGTTCTTGGAGCTGTTTCACTCCGAGTGAGCTCAGTGCTGGGGGCTGGCTGTACAGCCCAGTGGCCAAGGAAAACTCAGATCAATCCAATTTGGGCTAATCAAGGATCTGAACCTGGATTTCTCCATGTCTTCCCCCAAGAAAAAGCCACCTCTGGGAAAATATTTGCACAAGCAGCGTGGCACCTGTCACAGACAACTTTTATGAAAAATCTTTTCCTTAGGATTTTTCCTCCTGAGAAGCTGAGAGGCCTCAGGAACAAAATGCAAACAATGGTTATCTGCTGCTGTGGAATGCAACAGGTGCATCTGGGATTGGGCTCATGGGGTTGTTTCTAATTAATGGCCAATCACAGCCCAGCTGGCTCGGACTCTCTGTCCCAGACAGAAGCCTTTGTTATTCATTCTTTTCTATTCTTTGCCAGCCTTCTAATGAAACGTTTTCTTCTATTCTTTTAGTATAGTTTTAATGTAATATATATCATAAAATAATAAATCAAGCCTTCTGAACCATGGAGTCAAATCCTCATCTCCTCCCCAGTCTGAAACCCCTGTGAACACGGCCACAGCACCGGACTCAAGGGGAATTAGGGAGGGGATGTGAGAACTCCCAGATCACTGTCAGAGGGAGAGCAGAGCTTTTCCCAGAGCATCCTGCTCCCTCTGCAGCATCCCTGGGCTCTGCCTGCCTGCACTGCAGCCCTTTTAGCAGCCTCTAATGCGTGGCCCCACCTGGGAGCAGCAGCACTAAACTGCTACCCGTGTTTGCAAACTGCCCTGGAGCGTGGCAGCCCTGCTGAGTGCTGTGCTTGGGGCTGAAATACAGCCTGCTTAAATCTTGTATGTGCTTGTCTTGCATCAAACTAAGCCATTGTGGCACTTTAATAGACTCCAGGCACGGCACCTCTGAGAGGGAGCCAACCTGAGCTTCGCTGGAAGCCTGAGCTGAAAGTGGAGCTGCCTGCAGGATGGGCTGAGCTGAGGCAGTGCTGCTGGGAATGGTGCCTTTGTCCTTTACCTAAAACAGGCAAAATTAAGGGAATAAAATGTGTATAATAATAAAGATAATATTAGATATATAATAATATATATTATTGTATTAATAATAATATATATTATTATATTAATAATATATATAATAAAATTATAATACTAATAATAGATAATAAAAAGAATAATAATATTTATTGAAGGGTCTTCAGGTACAAAACAGAGGCCAGGCAAAATTAAGAGAATGAAAAGCAGCTCTATTTATTGAAGGGTCTTCAGGTACAAAACAGAGGCCAGGCAAAATTAAGAGAATGAAAAGCAGCTCTATTTATTGAAGGGTCTTCAGGTACAAAACAGAGGCCAGGCAAAATTAAGAGAAGGAAAAGCAGCTCTATTTATTGAAGGGTCTTCATGTACATTTAGAGCAGACAAAATCCACCCGAAAATGGACAATGGGTCATGGTTTTCACACTTTCATAAGTTTGGTCCATTTGGTTAAAAAGTGGTTGTATTTATTGAAGAACCTTCAGGTACAAAACAGAGGCCAGACAAAATTAAGGGAATAAAAACCAGTTCTGTTTATTGAAGGGCCTTCAGGTACATTTAGGGCAGACAAAGCCCCCCAAGGGCTGCACCCAAAAATGGACAATTCTAAGCTGATGGAGTGGCTGATTTTTTGTCCAGCTGCTGAGCTGGGAGCTCTGAGTGCCACTCTGAGCTCTGCTGGAGTTTCCTGAAAGGCCACGGGAGTGAAAACCTGATGGAAATATTCCTGTTGATGCCTTTTTGGGCTACCTAAAAACAGAGGCCAGGCAAAATTAACGGAATAAATAGTGTTTATATTTATTGAAGGGCCTTCAGGTACATTTAGAGCAGACAAAACCCACCCAAAAATGAACAATGGATCACAGGTTTCACACTTTTATAAGTTTGGTCTATTTGCATTTTGGGGGTGAATCTGCCAATTCCAGCTGCAGCTGATGAAGTCATTGACCCCAAGTTTGCTGCCCCAACTCCCTTTTGTTCCCATCTCTGGGCCCTGAGGCAGTGAGGTGTCCTTGATTGCCAGGCCTGGAGAGGAATTGTTGTGTCTGCCCCAGATGGGGAAGCAGCAGCTCCCACTGTGTGTGGAGTTCAGAGTTCTACACTAAAGAACTGCAGGGCTACAAATAGATGGAAAATATAATAATATACTATTATTAAATAGAATTTATTATTATTGGTAGTAGTAGCATTAGTATTAAATATAATATCATCTCTTTCAAGTAGATGGAAAATAGAAAAGCTGAAATCCTGGAGAGGAATTGTTGTGTCTGCCCCAGATGGGGAAGCAGCAGCTCCCACTGGGTGTGGAGTTCAGAGTTCTACACTGAAGAACTGCAGGGTCACAAATAGATGGAAAATATAATAATATACTATTATTAAATACAATTTATTATTATTGGTAGTAGTAGCATTAGTATTAAATATAATATCATCTCTTTCAAATAGATGTAAAATAGAAAAGCTGAAATCCTGGAGAGGAATTGTTGTGTCTGCCCCAAATGGGGAAGCAGCAGCTCCCACTGGGTGTGGAGTTCAGAGTTCTACACTAAAGAACTGCAGGGCTACAAATAAATGGAAAATATAAGTGCTCAAATCCTAAGGCATCAGGGAAAAAAATATGGGATTTCTGTGGCCAGGAGCAGAGGTGCAGCCACCCCAAGGGCCCTGCCTGGCCAGGGGAGGATGTGGCAGGTGCCAGCCTGTGCTGCTGTGCCCGGCACTGCTGTGGAAGGTTCTGCTCTGCTGGGATGGCTCAGACACTGCAGCTCTGAGCAGCTTTAGCTCAGCTGACAACAGGGGCTCGCCTGACAAGGGGATGCAAAGGGAAAGCAAGGCCCTGGACACACAGGGGACATCTCCCTGGAGGGGTGGGACCCGGCTGCTGCTCACTGCCTCCCTGGGGTTTGCTCTTCTCAGGAGAGCTCTGGTGCTTTCTGTGCCTGTGAAAAACGCCAATCACGTGTTTTTAAAATTTTAAAAGTTTAATAGTAATAAAATGGTTATTAAAATAGTAATACAATTAGAGTAATAATAATTTGGACAATTTGGATTAGGACAATACGAGACAATAGAAACAAAGAGTTATGGACAGTCCAGGTACCTCTTTCTGGGCAAAAGGACCCACGTTAACAGAGGATTAACCCTTAAAAGCAACAGCCTGTTGCATATTCATACATCCCATCCATGATGCAGAAATTCCATTCAAACACAGGATTCTGTCTGGGCAGTGTCAGCTTCTTCCTCTGAATCCTGAGGGTGTCCTGGATCCTGAGTGAGGCAGGCAGAAGTCAGCTTCTTCTGATAAGAGAACAATAAATTCCTTTTCTCTGAAAGATTTAGGTGTCCTGTGGCTGCTATCTGGTGCGAGTACCTCATTCCTTTCTTAAAAAATATCCCACTTACATAGTTCCTATTTTAACTACAAAAGTGACCTTTTAACTACAAAACTATTAAAATGTGAATACAGCACTACTAATCAATACAACAAAACACACATAGTAAATATCTGCATAGAGCAGATGACAATATGAAACAGCAGAAACAAAGTTATTTTAACTACAAAAGTTAAAGTTGAGTTTTAACTATTTTAACTACAGAAGTTTTTAACTATTTTAAAACTATTTTAACCACAAAAGTGACCTTTTAACCACAAAACTATTAAAATGTGAATACAGCACTACTAATCAATACAACAAAATACACATAGTAAATATCTGCATAGAGCAGATGACAATATGAAACAGCAGAAACAAAGTTATTTTAACTACAAAAGTTAAAGTTGAGTTTTAACTATTTTAACTACAGAAGTTTTTAACTATTTTAAAACTATCTTAAAATAGTTTTAACTACTAGTTAAAATAGTTTTAACTACTAGTTTTAACTCCTTTTAACTACAAAACTATTAAAATGTGAATACAGCACTACTAATCAATACAACAAAACACACATAGCAAATATCTGCATAGAGCAGATGACAATATGAAACAGCAGAAACAAACTACAAAAGTTAAAGTTTATTTTTAACTATTTTAACTACAGAAGTTTTTAACTATTTTAAAACTATCTTAACTACAAAAGTGACCTTTTAACCACAAAACTATTAAAACGTGAATACAGCACTACTAATCAATACAACAAAACACACATAGTGAATATCTGCACAGAGCCATCCAATATGCACTTTTCACAGCGCCTGCTGGCCTTTGCTGTGTGTTGCAGGTTTCCTCCCACCTGAGTCCCTGAGGTTCCTGCTGGCAGCTCCAGCAGAGCCCTGCAGAGGTGCCCTCCTGCTCCTGGCTCTGAGGCCCCTCCAAACCTGCTTCTGCAATGGGTGGGTTGTAAGCACTGGTAAGACCCACGAGCCGTGTCACCTTGCTGCTCTCTGCCTCTCTCGCGTTCTCTCGCTCTGTCCTCGCTCCTTCCTGCCCATTTATTTCTGTTCTCCATGTGCTCTGCTGTTCTGTCTCTGGGGTTTTCACTGTCAGGTAATGAGGAGCTGTGGGCCCAGTCAGTCTTGGAGATGCCGAAGAGACGAGACATCCTGGCTATCGTGCTGATAGTTCTGCCCTGGACACTGCTAATCACCGTCTGGCACCAGAGCACCATTGCTCCTCTGCTTGCAGTGCACAAGGGTGAGAGAAACCAAACCAGCCCATGCCAAGCCCGTGCATCCCCCCCTTCGTCCTCATCTCCTCTCTCATTTCATTCCTCCATGGCAGCCATGCTCATCTCAGCTCCCAGACCATGCCCATGCAGGAGCCTCCCCACCTCTGCTGCAGGGGTTCTTCAGAGGCATCAAACTCCCCATCTCAGCTCCTAGGGGTTCTTCAGGGGCATCAAACTCCCCACCCCAGCTCCTAGGGGTTCTTCAGAGGCATCAAACTCCCCACCTCAGCTCCTAGGGGTTCTTCAGGGGCATCAAACTCCCCAGCTCAGCTCCTAGGGGTTTTTCAGAGGCATCAAACTCCACACCTCTGCTGCAGGGGTTCTTCAGAGGCATCAAACTCCCCACCTCTGCTGCAGGGGTTCTTCAGAGGCATCAAACTCCCCAGCTCAGCTCCTAGGGGTTCTTCAGAGGCATCAAACTCCCCACCCCAGCTCCTAGGGGTTTTTCAGAGGCATCAAACTCCCCACCTCAGCTCCTAGGGGTTCTTCAGAGGCATCAAACTCCCCACCTCTGCTGCAGGGGTTCTTCAGAGGCATCAAACTCCCCAGCTCAGCTCCTAGGGGTTCTTCAGAGGCATCAAACTCCCCACCCCAGCTCCTAGGGGTTCTTCAGGGGCATCAAACTCCCCACCTCAGCTCCTAGGGGTTCTTCAGGGGCATCAAACTCCCCACCTCAGCTCCTAGGGGTTCTTCAGAGGCATCAAACTCCCCACCCCAGCTCCTAGGGGTTCTTCAGGGGCATCAAACTCCCCACCTCAGCTCCTAGGGGTTCTTCAGGGGCATCAAACTCCCCACCTCAGCTCCTAGGGGTTCTTCAGAGGCATCAAACTCCCCACCTCTGCTGCAGGGGTTCTTCAGAGGCATCAAACTCCCCACCCCAGCTCCTAGGGGTTCTTCAGAGGCATCAAACTCCCCACCTCAGCTCCTAGGGGTTCTTCAGAGGCATCAAACTCCACGCCATGGGATGTGCTTGCTGCACTTGGAGAGCTCTTTATGGCCTAAGCCCAGAGTGCTGCTTCTCTTTGTTCCCTGAGAGGATTCCCTCCCTCCCTGCTGGCCTTTGCAGAGCTCTGCACACAAAGTCATTCCAGCGGGAAAGCTGCAAAAGAAACAGCAGAGGAAACAAAGCTGCCACTCGAGGCAGCTGCTCTGGGAGACCTGAGGCTGAGAGCACTTTTAAGGAAAGCAGAACAGCAGTGCTCTTGCACTTGAAGGAGAAGGCAAGAGCCAGATCTCACCTGCCTGAGGGAGCCGAAGTGCTCTGAGAAGTTGACTCCACACTCCTGTCACACACTGCAGCAAACACAGCCCTGGCCCAAACCAGGGGCTCCAGGAAGTTCTGAGGGAACCCTTCTGGCCAGAAGCATCCCAGTTTGGTCCTGTTCTTGGCACAACAGCAATGTCCAAGGGCTATGAGGGCTCTTGGGGGCTGGAAGAAGCCATGCTGCCTTCTGCCACCTTCCTTCTTGGTTCTGCCCTTCTGCTGTGGGCAGGCTGGTCTGGGGGAAGAAGACCAGTTCATTTCCAGACCCTTTCATCCTCTCTGGTCCCTTTCTCTGAGGGATTCTCTCCCCTTTCAGTGTTTGTCCCCATCCTGCATAGCTGCTTATCCCTTTGCTGGACACTCTGATGTGCAGTTTGAGCTGCAGGAACTTCAGTCTGTCCTGAGCAGTTTTCCCTTTCTCCTGACTGCCACCTCTGAGGCTTTGGGCAGGGAAAAACGCCTCTGATCCCTTCTGGAAGGTGGACAGTGTTTCAGAGGATGAGGGATCTCCTGGGCTCTAAAAGAGGACTTTAAAGATGACTAAAAACACACTGCCTGTCTGTACAGCAGTTTGATCAGTGCCCTAAAAGCTGTTTTCTGTGAATGGCCTCTGCAGTTTCAGCACAGAGACTGCTCCAATGGCTTGGTCAAGAACGCACCAATGACCTTGATGAGACACTTCTCTGCTTCTCAGAGCCCCCAGTAGAGAGTGAGTGGTGGTAGAGACCAATCTGAAATCTCTCAAGAGGAATCATTTTGTTCTTGTGAAGCATTTCTGAGATGCTCTGCTCACAGGTGCTGAGAGAGATGTGCACCTGGAGATGGCCAGACAGCAGCACTTCCCCGTGCCAGGGCTCACAGCTGAGGATCTGACCTGCAGGGCTTTGCAAACTGCCTCAGGCACCATCCTGGCTAATTACATTTGTGTCTGTGTCCAATGCATTTCGCAGATTTATTTCTGAATTGATTCCAGCTCTCAGAGAGCTCTGCTGTGATGCTGAGGTGCTTTGCAGCACATAGGGCCTGATAGCAACGTGTGCCCTGCTCCTTCCCCCAAATATCCACCCCCCTCTGTCAATACCTTGGAGTACAAAGCCTTCATTTGGTTCAGGTATCAAAGCTTTGCTGCTGGAAGAATAACATGCTATGAAAAAGCCATGGGTAATTCCATGCTGGGTCAGATCTAATGGCCCTCTGTTCCTGTTCTTTCTCATCTCAAGTACCTGATGTTGAAAAATCTATGGCTCAAAGAGCTCTGTGCCCACTGGAGAGGCAGCCTTCCATCCTGAGTGGGGGTCCCCCTTCATCTCTGCAGACTGTGGCATTCCCCCTGCCCTGCACTGGAGAATTGCACGTGGAACTTGCACCCTGGAAAAGCAGCAGGTGCATCAACACTGGTTTTCCTCGAGCTGATTGTGAACATTTGCAGGGATTTTGTATGTTTGGATCAGAGTATCCGATCTTTAGGCTGTTCATGTCTCACATCTGCAGCCCTGAGGGGGCTGTTCTGTTCAGAGGCTGGAGGGGCCTTTTTGAGGCAGGTTAGTTAGAGGCAGGGGAAAGTCTCTGCAGGAAAAAACCTACAATTACAGGCTTTAATTTCCACTCTCCATTTCTGCATTTGAAGTGTGCCTTTCCCCACTTCTCTGTGGCTGTCAGAGAGCAGTGGGGCACTGCAGTGTCCTGCCCAGACCATGCTGCTGGGGATCTTCACTGGCCTGGTGTTTTCCACCAGTTTTTTCTGTGCCTCCCAGTCCAGGTCCTCCAGTTCCTGAGTGCAGATCTGAGTCCTGCCCCACTGAGCGTGATGCCCAGAGCCCTGGAGCTCTTCAGGGATGATGGACCATCATTCCACGTGGCTATTCTCTTTATCTAAACCTACTTGCTCTACAATCCTCTCTTTTCTGGGTGCTTTTTGAAGCTGCTTGTTGTGAGCGCTCAGCCCAGTTGTGAGCTCAGCTTGTTGAGCACTCAGCCTGTTGTGAGCTCTCAGGCCTTTTTTCTTTTCAGTGCTGGTTTTCTAGCAGCAGAATCTTCTTTTCTCACGTGTGTTTGTCCCTGATTCCTTTATTTATCCGTGCCCTTACCCACGAAAGCCTCCACTCCTGGCACCCACGAGGGTGACCCGCTGGCTCAGCCAGGGGGTGCCGGACACCCGAGTCCATGCAGCTCTCTCTTCTCTCCATGCCCTTGCCCAGATGATGGTGGTGACTCCCAGCGTGATCTCGCTGCAGGCTTGGACTCCAAGGAATACTGCCTGTCGGACCGGGACATAGTGGAGGTGGTGAGGACAGAGTACGTGTACACGCGCCCACCCCCGTGGTCGGACACGCTGCCCACCATCCACGTGGTCACCCCCACCTACAGCCGGCCGGTGCAGAAGGCAGAGCTGACCAGGCTGGCCAACACCCTGCTGCACGTGCCCAACCTTCACTGGATCCTGGTGGAGGACTCGCAGCGCCGCACGCCGCTCATCACCCGCCTGCTGCGGGACACGGGGCTCAACTACACCCACCTGAACGTGGAGACGCCCCGCAACTACAAACTGCGAGGGGACATGAGGGACCCCCGCATCCCCCGCGGCACCATGCAGAGGAACCTGGCCCTCAGGTGGCTGAGAGAGACCTTTCACAAAAACAACAGCCAGCCCGGGATTGTTTACTTTGCTGATGATGATAACACCTACAGCCTGGAGCTCTTCGAGGAGGTAAGGGCCTGCTGGGGGGGGTGGATGGGGCTGGTGAGCCTGGGGAGTGTAGGATGGTTGTGGGTGTTGTGGTGATGGTTGTGGTGTGCCTGGATGAGTGTAGGAGTGGAGTGGTTGTTCTGTCTATCTAGGATGGGGCTGGTGAGCCTGGGGTAGGACGGTCAGGATGGATGGGGATGAGAGATCTCTGAAGCCAGGCCTTGGAATTTGGGGTTTATTGCAAAGGGCCTGGGTGCAGGGCCCTGCTGGGAGCTGCCAGCTGCAGCTTGGAGCGGGACTGAGAGAAGAGAGGGGGAGAGAGGATGAGAGGGTAAGAAAGTAAAAACGGTAAGAGCATAAAAGGGTAAGAGAGCGAGGTTCCCGATCCAATACAATAAATCTTCTTCTGTGTTGAATATTCTAATTCTCACTAACCAGTCTAGCACAAGATACAAATCCTACAGCATTTACATACAGCCTATAAGAATCATTACATTACCATACTGTGTCACATTTTAAACCCTAAAAACTCCTCTTTGGGCCAATCTAGTAGGGTCTGCTCTGCCCCTTGGGCCTGTCTGCAAGCAGAGGGTGTTGTTTCATTAAAAGGGGATCACCTTCAGCTGGCCATGCCATTGTTTTCCAGTTGTTCAGTAACTGAGGTATCTCAAAGCTTGCTTTCATTTCAATCTGGCTTACAGTTTCCATATTCTCAAGATATTTTGCCAGACAATCATATTGATAAGGCTTTCCTGTTTCATCTTCCCCAACAGGGAAGGGGTGAGGTGTAAGGGGTTCCAGTATGGGTGAATGAAGGTGGTATGGAATGTAATCTTATCCCCTAAAGAGTTGCAGCTGAACCAATTACTAAAGATTAGGAGCAGGCCTGATGATAACAGGCCACACCTGTACCAAATAAGAACAGTGTTAGAAAAGAGTGGATTGGTGGGAACTGGAGTCAGTTGGCTGCTGTGAGGACAAGGAAGAGTCAGTGCCTAGAGGAGCTGCCTACAAGAAACATGGAGGAGGTACAAGACTCTGGTAATATGGAACCCTTGCAATGTAATGACAACAGAACTCTTGCAATATAATGACAATAGTGAGGGATGCTGGGCTCCACAGCCCTCCCAGGACATCTTGTTCAGAGATGTTCCCTGTGCTGGTCCCTGCCTTGCTGCACACATGAGGAACAGGAGTTTGCTGGAGCTTTTGGTTCCCCTCCTGGAAAAGCAGAGCCCTTCATACAGTGCCTGGGGGAGGGATGTCTGTGCCAGGAGATGTGTCCAGTTTTTTCCCCCTGGAGCAATTCCTATTCCAGTACTCAGCATGACTCCCCCAGGGTGCTATCAGCAGGCAGAGGGGCTGAGGTCTCTCCCTGGAAGTTGGCAGCTCCAGGGCTGATTTTCAGCATGTCCTGACAACATGGTTGGGCTTGAGCAGGGGAAGATTTTCTGGGCTTTCCCACCTTTGCTCTTTGTTCCAGCCCAGCTGAGGCTCTACATGAGCTCCTGTCTGCAGGTTTGAATGTTCTTACTTGGCTTCCAGCTCAGAAATTACTTGTTCCCTTGCTCTCTTGAGGCCAAACTCTTTCACCAAGGGATGATAAAGGAGGATTGCTTCCTTCCCCACCAGCTGCCTGTTTTCATACCAGGGATCTCCTATTTATTTCCTCATGCATGCCTCTTTCCCTTCCCCAATGGCTCTCACTTTAGCTTGCACAGCCACAGGAATGGCTTTGGAAGCTGAGAGTGAATTCAGGCTGAATTTCTTTCTTCCCCTGTCCCCTTTGAGGCTGGCTCTGGTGGCATCTTGAGACAGACTCCTCACATGAATAAAGCAGAAAGGGTTCCTTCATTCACTCCTGTGCTGTGCTCGTAGAGGCTTCTCCTCTCAGATATGTCTCTGCAGTTAAGGTCACTGAGCCAAGGAAATGTGCTGTGAAATGCAGGAGACACATATTATTGTTCCCTGTGGACAGGGGCTGCCGTTAGCAGCTGTATAATGCAGAAGGGCAAGTGCCAGAGCTCTTCTGCTCTCGTTTGCAGTAATTAGCAGTGATGAGATTAGCTCTGGGAGAGCCCTGATCTAAGAGAGCGAGCTGAGAGCAGAGATGGAGGCTGAGCCTGCCAGGGAGCAGGGCAGGGTGCTGAGGGTGAGTGGCATTCAGAGCATCTGCCTTGGCCAAAGGGGGCCCCTGGTGGCCCTGCTCCGTTTCTGGCGGCCACAGGGAGCAGAGGCACCCTGTTCCACAGGGCAGGGCTGTCCTGCCTGCTGGCAGTGTCCAGAGAGGCTGTGCTTCCCAGCTGTCCCCCAGGCTGGCAGCTGCACTGCCCCACTCTGGAGATGCCCTTAGCCCTACATAGCCTGAGACTGCAGCTTAAATACCTTAGTAGAGACCACCTTTCTTCCTAGATGTGCCATTCCTGCATTTCCATGAGGCCTTGGACAAGGTTCTTCCTTCCTGGGTCTTGGTTTGCCCATGTGGAGCCCAAGAGCTGGACAAAAACCCCACTCATAAATCCCAGAGATTTCAAACAAACTTCTTCCTGCCTCGCTCGGGCAGGATGATGCTGTTAAAATTATGAGGAAGAAGTTGATGATGACCAGCCAGAATCCTGTGTTTGAATGGAATTTATGCATCATGTATGAGGTGTATGAATATGCAACAGGCTATTGTTTTTAAGGGTTAATCCTTTGTTAATGGGTGTCCTTTTTTATGGGCCTATGCTGCCCAGAAAAGGTACCCAGACTGTCCATAACTCTTTGTTTCTCTTGTCTCATATTGTCCTAATTCAAATTGTCCAAATTATTATTATTACTCTAATTATATTGCTATGAATTAATACAGCATGTGTAAAATACATACTTTATGATTGGCTTTTCACAAATATTAAAATGACTATTATATGTGTTGTGTTAGAAAGTAATGCTGCATTAATTCTCTCAAGTAGTGCGTTAAATATAGTTTTAGGTTATAACAAAATGTTAAAATAGAAACTATGCTCTGTAGGATACTTTTTTTTCTAAAGAAAGGACTCGCACTGAGATAGCAGCCACAGGACACCTAAATCATTCAGAGAAAGCAAATTTATTGCTCCATTATCAGAACTTCTTCCTGCCTCGCTCGGGTAGGATGACGCCGTTAGGATTATGAGGAAGAAGTTGATGATCACCAAACAGAATCCTGTATTTGAATGGAATTTATGCATCATGTATGACATGTATGAATATGCAACAGGCTATTGCTTTTAAGGGCTAATCCCTTGTTAACGGGTGTCCTTTCTTTCGGGCTATCACAAAATCCACATTTTTCACACTCTGTGTTTTCCTGGCAGATGCGCAGCACCCAAAGGTGTTGTGTGGCCTTCATGGGCAGCCTGCGCTTAAAGTTTTCATACAGGCGCAACTTATTTCACATATATTTTATTTTAATATGTGCAAAAAGCCAAGCACAGCATACCCATTTCTCACACTCTGTGTGTGCTCGTGGCAGATGCGCAGCACCAGGAAGGTGTCGGTGTGGCCTGTGGCCTTTGTGGGCGGCCTGCGCTACGAGTCGCCCAAGGTGAACGCGGCGGGGAAGGTTTACGGCTGGAAAACCGTCTTCGACCCTCACCGGCCCTTCGCCATCGACATGGCCGGCTTTGCTGTCAACCTCAGGCTCATCCTGCAGCGCTCCCAGGCCTACTTCAAACTGCGCGGGGTCAAGGGCGGCTACCAGGAGAGCAGCCTGCTCCGCGAGCTGGTCACCCTCAGCGACCTCGAGCCCAAGGCTGCCAACTGCACTAAGGTATGCTCTCGTCCTGCTGCGGGGTGCTGGGGAGCCAGAGGGGCAAGAAAACACGGTTTTCTCCATCATTCCATCACTTCACAGAATCACAGTATTGATATTTACCAATACAGCCAGACGGGGCATGCCTGAGCTTGTCTGGCCCTGGTGCTGAACCAAACAGCAGCACTGTGGTGTTTCACCCCACAGACACTTTTGGCTGCCTGGGTGTGTGGTGTTTCACCCCACAGACACTCTTGGCCGGCTGGGTGTGTGGTGTTTCACCCCACAGACACTCTTGGCCGGCTGGGTGTGTGGTGTTTCACCCCACAGACACTTTTGCCCGGCTGGGTGTGTGGTGTTTCACCCCACAGACACTTTGGGCTGCCTGGGTGTGTGGTGTTTCACCCCACAGACACTCTTGCCCGGCTGGGTGTGTGGTGTTTCACCCCACAGACACTCTTGGCCGGCTGGGTGTGTGGTGTTTCACCCCACAGACACTCTTGGCCGGCTGGGTGTGTGGTGTTTCACCCCACAGACACTTTTGCCCGGCTGGGTGTGTGGTGTTTCACCCCACAGACACTTTGGGCTGCCTGGGTGTGTGGTGTTTCACCCCACAGACACTCTTGGCCGGCTGGGTGTGTGGTGTTTCACCCCACAGACACTCTTGGCCGGCTGGGTGTGTGGTGTTTCACCCCACAGACACTCTTGGCCGGCTGGGTGTGTGGTGTTTCACCCCACAGACACTCTTGGCCGGCTGGGTGTGTGGTGTTTCACCCCACAGACACTTTTGCCCGGCTGGGTGTGTGGTGTTTCACCCCACAGACACTTTTGCCTGGCTGGGTGTGTGGTGTTTCACCCCACAGACACTTTTGGGTGTGTGGTGTTTCACCCACAGACACTTTTGCCTGGCTGGGTGTGTGGTGTTTCACCCCACAGACACTTTTGTCTGGCTGGGTGTGTGGTGTTTCACCCCACAGACACTTTTGGGTGTGTGGTGTTTCACCCCACAGACACTTTTGGCTGCCTGGGTGTGTGGTGTTTCACCCCACAGACACTTTTGCCTGCCTGGGTGCTGCAGTTGGCACGTGGGGACAAGTCCAGGCCTGCAGGAGCTCTGGTGGTGCTGGGATGGAGCTTCCCCCCATAACAGGGGCTGCTCCTCAGGTTTCCCTCTGTGGAGAAGCTTTAAGGCGATGGTGAAGGAAAGGAGTTGGTTCTGATGGAGGGTTTGGATCCAGAGCTTTATTCTGGCCCTCAGGCCTCTGAATGCAGCAGCAGCTCCAACAGAACTCCCTGAGCCCGTGGCTGCTGCTCCTTTGAACCCCGGGGAGAGGGGCAGGGAAGGGGCAGGGCTGCTCACACAGGCTCTGCCTTGCTGCTAAGTTGTCTTCTCCCTCCTGACATCTCTGCAGTATCTGTGCTGTCGGTGCCCACAAAAACCTGGATCTTTCTATGTCAGAGATAACACAGAAATGTTGTAGTGCCTGGGATATTGCTGTGAGCTCCAGGAGGCTCCATTTGGGGGGATTTCACTGCTTTTAGCTGACTGATCAATGCTGCCTGTACACGTGGCTGGGTCAGGGAGCAGGACCCCGTGTGCTAAATAACACAGAAACCATGGATGGCTCTTCTCCTGAAAACTTCCCAGTCTGAGAGGAGAGATGAATCTGTCTGGGCTGACAGGGACCATGGGAGACACCATGAGACAAAGCTGCTTGGAGTGACAGGCATCAATCACAGCCCATGAGCCACAGAGGTGCTGCCAAGGGCTTTGAAGCTTTGGGAATGGGTTCCCTAAATACTGGAGGTGTGCTGGGGGTCCCTCTGAAATCAGAGACCCCTGTGTAGCACTCTCACACCTGTGTCTGTTATAAACATCAGCCAGTCTGATTTAGAGAGTCTTTATTGCTTAATTACCCTCACAGAATTGTCCTTTTATTGCAAATAAGTTGTTATTGCCAACAGCCCCAGTGTTGGATCCAGGTCTCATCTTTTCTGGGATAGAAGGAAAATGTGGTTTATAGCCTCTGCCTGATTTCCATGTGCACTGCTCCAAAGCCATGGAAAAAACCAGGAATCTGAATGTTCAACAGTGCTCTCACAAGGAATCCAGGAATGAGGAGGAGGAGCCGAGGGGAAGGAGCAAGTCTGGGCTTTATCTGATACCTGCTGTGCCTCTCTGAATCCACATTTCTGGTTATGGCTGTCCTACACTGGTTCAAATAACCCAACCAGCCTCCCAAGAAAGAGGAAAGAGTTTGGATTAAAATTAGATCCCTGTTCCTGGGCTCTGTGTGGAAATAAACGTGTTTCCAACAGGCAGGAGGGACGGACAGGCTGCTTTTACTCTGTGTACAGAGGATCAGGGCTGTTTACCTGATCTTCTCTCCACAGGGTGTTTACCAGGGTGTTTACCTGGCCAGTTATGCAGTCTTTGGTCCATTGTCCCTGCTGTGAACAAATACCTGCTGGAAGGAAGCTCTGCTGAAAGGCTGGGGTGGGAAATGACAGCCCTGGAGGAAGGAGAGGAAGGAAAATGTTGTTTCCAGGAGGGGGAAACAAAGGGTGCTGGAGCCAGGCAGGGCTGAGCCAGGCCAGGGATGGGAGGAAGCAGCAGGGATTGCTGCCCAGCACTGGAAGCAGACTGAGTTTCCTTTCTTGGCTGGGCTGGGGGGAGCTCACAAGGCTCCTTGTTGTGAGCTGAATGCTGTCTGCTCCTGGCAGGCTCTGAGTGCAGCTTTGCAGCCTCCATTTCCCTGGAAATCTCCATTTCTGCTCTTCCTCACCTGTGACCGTGTTCACAGAGGTCTGAGGATGAGGGAAGAGATGAGGATCTGACTCCATGTTCAGAAGGCTGATTTATTATTTTATGATAGATATTACATTAAAACTATACTAAAAGAATAGAAGAAAGGATTTCATCAGAAGGCTGGCTAAGAATAGAAAAAGAAAGAATGATAACAAAGGCTTGGGGCTCAGACTCTATCTGAGCCAGCTGGGCTGTGATTGGCCATTAATTAGAAACAACCCCATGAGCCCAATCCCAGATGCACCTGTTGCATTCCACAGCAGCAGATAACCATTGGTTACATTTTGTTCCTGAGGCCTCTCAGCTTCTCAGGAGGAACAATCCTAAGGAAAGGATTTTCCATAAAAGATGTCTGTGACACTCACCCCTTTTACCAGGACAAGAGTCAGGGCCAGCAGCAGAGAAGGACCAAAGCCAGTTGTGGTCTGGGCTTCTCTGAGCCTGAGGTCACAGCTCAGGCTCCTCTCTCCCCCCTGTGCTCCCAGCACTTGTCATGCTTTGCTCCTGTTAAACACAACCACACACCTGCTTTGCAGGGAGATTTACATTAAAAATTATGATGTGCTTAGACAGAGTCATTAAGGGGGGATCAGAGGAATGTGTAAGATAAGCACAGACATCTGTTCTCCAAAAATGCTGCCTTCCCTGTGTGCTCTGCTGGTGCTGGAAATGTTGATCAGAATTCAGCCCACAAACACACACTCCTGCAGAAAGCTGAAGTGTAGGCCAAAGATCACGTATCATGCTTATTTTGTTGGATTTGAGAACTGCCCAAAATGAAGGAGAAAGTAAAGGAAGTCGGTATTAGTTGCTGAGGAGAAAGGTATCCCTCCTTATGAGGAGGGAAGGATTGGTTTATCCTGGAGCTGTAAGGAAACAGGGCTTTGCAAGGGTTCTCTGTATTTGGATTTCTGCTGTTTGTGCATTTCCCCACGCCCCCAGATCAAACCATCCTCTCTTCAACCCCTTGGCACAGGAGAGAGGTCTGAGATTTGGCATTGCTGTCAGGCTGGTGGAAGGGGGGGACACTCTGTTCCCCATTTTCTTTGGACAGCCAGGGAACAACCTGCAGTGAGCTCAGGCAGGGAGGACTGAAGCAGAGACAGAGGCCCATGGGCACCACAATGCCACAGCTGGGGACATTTTATTGTCAGGCTGCAGAGCAGGGAGCAGAGCTGCCCTTTCAGCCTGGTGTCTCTTTTTTCCCCATTCTGTAGTTTCCATTTCAAACAACAGCAATTCCTGAATCCCTCCTGGGAGGGTCTGCTGGAAACCCTGTGATCCCTCCCACTGCAGGTCGGACACTTCTGTTTGTTTTTTCATCTCCTGTTGGGAGACAATGAATTGTTCTGCTGTGGAGATGGAGCCTTGTGACCTCCTAGGTCTGTTTTGAGTCCTGTGACTCCAAATGTCAGGCCAGGATTGAGTGGAAGGGTTTTGCAGTAGTGTTTTTAAAGGGGGTCCCTTGAGTGATCTCAAGGGTGATGTATGAAGTGATGTATGAAATCACTGCTCAGGAAAAGTCAGATATTTGGTCCCCCTCACTGTTTGGTCCCTCATGAGAGAGCCAAAGCTTCTCTGAGGCATAAAACACGCTGCTTGTTGAAAAAAAACAAGCACTGGCTGAAAGGAAAAGCAAATGTTTCTGTGGTAAATGGTGATCTACCTCCCACGTTAAGGAGCACAGCATGGAAAATGGTAAAAGCTGCAGTTTCAAGCTGTAAACTCTTAAAATGGGTCAGTTTTTAGCCCATTTGATCTGCCCTTTTTGGCATTTGGCTTTAAGAGAGCAGAAGTGGTCTCCAGTTGAAGCAGAGCACTGGTGCTGTGTGGTTGTGTTGCTCTGCTGCTGGAGTGGGAATGAGCCCTGGGCCAGAGGAGGGCCAGCAGTGCCAAGGGCTCTCTCTGAAGGGGAGAATTGGCTGCAGGATTTCTCCAGCACCTTTTAATCCTTTCACCATCACTGCAGAGCCCTGAGAGCCACCCGTGAGCCCCGCTGGGTTTTGTCTTTTCCCGGGCATGCAGTGCAGTAATTGCAGCAGTGGGGAGAGCAGGGCTGGAATCAAGGGTGACTTTGATGAGCAGGCTCTGAAGTGCTCGTGGGGGATGATGAAATGGATTTTTGGACCCACTCCAGCCAGCAGTTGGTCTCTACTGCTTCAGTATTAGCAGAGATTTAAGCTCCACACAGGAGGTGACTGCTCACATCAGAGAGGAATTTGGTCAAACAAGGTCCTGGGGAAGGGAGGGAAGGTGCTCTGCTTGAACCAGGAGGGTTTGAAAGGGGCTTTGTTCATCCCTCAGAAGCAGAACGTGGCCTGGTTTTTCAGGAAGGCAGGCACTGGGTGGAAGAGGTTTGCAGGATTGGGTGTGCAGGGGATTGTCATGGCAACCAGAGGGAAACCCCACGAGGTGGGAAACAGCCAGGCACAGGTGAGGGGAAGCAGGAAACCTGTTTGGAGAGGATAAAGCTGCAAGGAGGAAAGCAATGAGGATAATTGAGTATTTTAAGCAGCTTCCAGAACCGTCTGAGCACAGCAAGTAGAAACAATTTCCTACAACAGCCCCTCTGAAATACTCAACCACCTCAGATTCTGCCAGTTCTCCTCCACAGATGTTGATCTCTCTGCAACTCTGCTGCCAAGACAGGGGGAAGCTTTTAGGAGAAGCTCCAGTTGTGTTTTAAGCAAGTTTGGGAGGGGCTTTAATCCCTGGTACAGAATAGGGGGTGGCTGTATGGGGGCAGCATTCCAAAGGCTTTTTTGGGGGATCCAAAGGCTTTGGGGGATCCACAGGGGAATGCTGGGTTATGAGAGGGTGTGTGCAGCCCAGAGCTCGTGGGAAGAAGGGAGGATTCTGGAGCCAGCTCCTGCCTCAGCAGCTCTGAGGCTGCAGCAGCAGTGAGTCCTTCCCTGCTCAGTGACACTCAGTGGCTTTTTAGGCTCTGGAAAGGATTTAAAAGTGAAAAGAGAAGTGGTGGTTTTGTCTTTTCCCGGGCATGCAGAGCAGGAATTGCAGCAGTGGGGAGAGCAGGGCTGGAATCAAGGGTGACTTTGATGAGCAGGCTCTGAAGGGCTTGTGGGGGATGATGAAATGGAGGTTAGGAAATGAGGTTAGGGGGCAGACTGGTGCCTGCTCCCCAGGAATGGATTTTCAGGGATGCACTGAAAAATTCAGATTGTATTTCCCTCAGCCAAAGGCAGGGGTGGACATGGAAGAGCTGCTGATGCCTCTTCCCTCCCAACACCACCTAAATGTCAGAAATTTGCATTTCCCCTCTGAGTGACTCCAAGGCTGAGGGTGTGGGTGATAACCAAGGAGCAGCTGAGGAGCTGTGGGAGGCAGGGCTGTGATTCCAGGCTGGGAGGGAGCTGCCTTACCCCATTGGAAGGCTGATGAGCCTTTGGAGGGAGCTGCTGGATAACTACATGGAAGGAGCAGGGTAATGTCCCACGACAGCACACTGTAAATGGTGATTTCTGTGCACTGTGCATTCTGCAGAGCAGCAGCTCTGCCTAAATGAAGGTTTATGCAAAGCCCCTCTCAGCAGTGGATGCACCATTAGGCTCCAGGGTGGCTGCTTAAATTGCACTATTGATTTAATGTGCAGGAATATTTCCTAGTGCACTGGAGAGCTGCAGCTAATGACTTCTGCTGGCTTCCTCAGATTTTAGTCTGGCACACAAGGACAGAGAAGCCTGTGCTGGTGAACGAGGGCAAGAAAGGATTCACAGATCCCAATGTGGAAATCTGACTGTGCATGGCTGACAGAGACCAACAACCAGGTAAGAGCTGTTTCTAACAGCGCTGAGAAACTACACAAGGGCAGGAAAAAGAGAAAAGCTCTTTTAAATGTGCTTTTTCATTTCCATTTTTCACAACCCTGACCTTCCCTTACTGCTAAACCTCTCAAGACCATTTGTTAATCTCTCTTTTTTAGAGTTAATCCATTTTTAAGACAAAATACCTGCTGAGAGATTGAGGGGAAGAAAAATACAGGGAGTAGGAGTTTCAGCAGAAGTTGCAGCATTAAGAAAAATCCTTGTGTAAACAAGGTTGCCTTATTAACTTAATATAGCTAAAGCACAGAGGTGAAGGGTGTGGATTTATCCACCTGCAAACACCTGAGGGAAGCTAAAGCAGTAGCAGCAAAAAGATTTTTGGCCAGGCAGAAGCTTTCACTGAGGGAAATATTTAATTCAGGCTCACAGTGAAGGCACAGAAGGGCAGTGATGAGTATGGAAGGTGTGGATTGAACCCTGCCTGAGGTGTTTGTTCACCTGAGGAGACCATGGGGTGTCTTTTCCAGTGAAAAGGAGGAAAGAGCACACACATTGATATTTGTTCATGCCCTGGGTGTTTCTGCAGCTGGTTTGCAGGAGGATGAGCTGTTCACTTGTATCTGCAGCTTGTGGAGCTGCCCTTCATTCTTATGGGCAATAAAATAAATGCACAACTCCCTTGCACTGGAGTGTAGAACCAGGCCTGGAGGGACAGGAGGTTGCTGCTCCTGAGTCCTGAGAAACAGGAGCAGGAAGGGGTAGATTTGCTCAGCAGGGGGTGAATTTTTACCTGCAATGAGCTCCCTTGTGTCCCATTCCCTGGGGGAAGCAGGATGGAGCCCTGGCTGCTGCTCTGTGCCCTGGGCAGGGCAGGAGGAGAGCCTGCGCCAGGGAGAGGCTGTGCACAGGGGCTGCAGCTCTCCAGTGCTGCTCCCCCTGCCCAGGCAGCACAATCTTGGGATCTGCTCTGGGACAGGGCTTTGGGATGGCTCTGAAGAGTGGGACAGGGCTTTGGGATGGCCCTGCAGTGAGGCACAGGGCTTTGGGATGGATCTGCACTGGGCCAGGGCTTTGGGATGGCCCTGCAGAGTGGCAAAGGGCTTTGGGATGGCCCTGCAGTGAGGCACAGGGCTTTGGGATGGCCCTGCAGTGAGGGCCAGGGCTTTGGGATGGCCCTGCAGAGTGGGACAGGGCTTTGGGATGGCCCTGCAGTGAGGGCCAGGGCTTTGGGATGGCCCTGCAGTGAGGCACAGGGCTTTGGGATGGCCCTGCAGTGAGGCACAGGGCTTTGGGATGGCCCTGCAGTGAGGCACAGGGCTTTGGGATGGCCCTGCAGTGAGGGCCAGGGCTTTGGGATGGCCCTGCAGTGAGGCACAGGGCTTTGGGATGGCCCTGCAGAATGGGACAGGGCTTTGGGATGGCTCTGAAGAGTGGGACACAGCTTTGGGATGGCCCTGCAGAGTGGGACACAGCTTTAGGATGGCCCTGCAGTGGCCCAGGGGTGCTACCCACGCTGTTTGTGTCTCTTGCAGAAGATTTCTTCATGCACAGCCTGCAAGGTTCCTCTCCACAGCACCCACCCAGGCAGGAGCCAGGAGCTCTGCTGACTCCCACCAGTTTTAGCCTTCAGAAAAACCAAGCACCACTGCATACATGAAGTCCCCGGATCCCCTGCCCTGCCTCCCGGGCTCCGGAGGTGGAGAACAAAGCACAGCAAGGCGGGACCGGCAGCTCCCGGCCCCAGGCTCCGGCTGCAACGTGAGCAGGGCTGTGCCAGCACCTGCCTGAGGGTGAGCGCCACCACAGTGGCCCCCAGGGACTGGTTTTGCTGAGCAACACGAACTTTGTGGCCGTGTGTGAGACAGCCTGAGCAGCTCTCTGGCCGTGGAGGGGACAGCTGCCTTCCTACATGGCACCTTAGCCCTTAATTTTAAGCCTCCTTTAATCAGTGTTCGTTACGCTGCACAAGAGGGGAAGGGTTTGGGGCGGGGGAGAACAAGGCAGGTTAGAACAAACCCTGGAAGCATCACTGTTCTGATTCCCTCTCCTTTTCCTTCCTCAGTTTCACAGTTTGGGGGGCACCTGATGTTCCTGTGTGGTCATGGAATCATGGAAGGGTTGGGGTGGAAGGGACTTCAAAGGTCCTCTGGTCCAAGCCCTGCCCTGGGCAGGGACACCTGCAGCTGGACCAGGTTGCTCCTGGCCTGGAATATTCCCAGGATTGGGGCATCCCCACCTCTCTGGGCAGCCTGAGCCAGTGTGAACCACCCTCATTGTAAAAAATGCCCTTATATCTCACCTATCCTCTTTGAGCTGGCCCCATCTTTCTTAGAAGACCCCAGAGTGGGACAGGAGCAGGGGGCTGCTGATCACCACCAGTTCACCACGAATCCTGATGGAGTCGTGTCTCCAGCATGTGGATCTCTAAAAATGCTAAAATAACTGGAAATGGGGTTTAATGAGATTGTGGGGGCCATACACCATAATATTCATCCAGATCTTGGTCCTGTTTGGCCCTAATTTGGCTCCCATGAGCATTAGGTATGGGATTCTCTCAAGGGTGCTCCTACATAAAGGCAAATTTCCACTCTTAAAAAATAAAACTGCTTCAAACTAGAGATTGAACACTAAGAGGTGATTTTAGTCCATTTCCCATTTGACTGGAGTGTATCCTCCAGCCCCAGCCCCTTTTTCTGCTACTGCAGAGCTGGTGTGAAAAGCCACCCTGGAGCAGTTCCCTTGGGAAGGGGATCCTGGGCTCAGGGCTCTGCTTCTTCACCATCTGGTGGTGCTGCCACCATGGGTGACTCTGTTTGAGACTGCCAAGCTTGCTGAGATACAAACTGAGGTACAACAGGCCCCTTCTCCCCAGCCAAAACCCATAAATTCCCTCCTCCTCCTCCATAACTCTTGTCAAACCTTTTTCATTCCCCCCACCCCTGTCCTAATTCCTTCAAAAATTTTGAAGCACAATTTTACCTTTGAACTGAGGGAAAAATGTAATCCTGCAATAGACTTGGTTATTTTTAGCCCTAACACATAGAACTATTAAAATGCTCTGGGTTTGATTGTTGGCTTCACAGTGCAGAAGTCTCCCCTTGGACTAATGACATTGTGTATTTCCTGATATTTCAAAGGAAAATATTTTTTGTAAGTTATTTTCTCCCACTGTATATCAGAACCGTTGGGGAAAAGTCTCATTCTTTAGTTCCCAGCCACAGAAGCCTTTACAAAAATGTTCCTTTTAGATGCAATGGCTGAAGCACCACTTGGAAAGAAAGTGTTGGATGCTGCTGGCTGCTCTATGGGAACAGGTATTGTTACCTTGGATTAAAACTCTGCACTCAAGTAGATTTATTCTCTTACTGTACTGGCCTTCCAAGCTCCCTTCAGTCTGCAAACCCTACAGTGGAAAAGAGACATTTTTCAAGGACTACCAAGTTTTCATAGCATTGAAATAGTTTCCAGCTGATGTCCTCTCCGAGCTGCATGTTTTGGTTCACTGATCTGAATTCCAGTCCCTGCTGGGTTCCAACTTTCCCTCCTTGGAAGGAAATAATAACTTTCAGAAAAATGCAAAGGATGGAGTGCTGAACACAGCCCTGCACGTTTGCTCTGCCCACAGGAGCCTGGGCCCTCTCAGCTGTCCCAGAGCTGCTGTGGCCCTGGGGAGCAGAGACAGACCTGGCCAGGATGGAGTGTGTTCCAGCTGCACTGTCTGTTCTCAGTTTTAAACAAACTGTATTTAAATTTGTTAAATAAAATGATGGTTTCTAAGAGCCAGAATAGCCTGCACCTCCCTTACAGACACAGTCTGGTGTTTCTCCTGGTACTGGCACAGAAAGCAGAGACTCCTTGGAGATTCTGTAGGATTCACAGCTCAGGTTTGATCTCTCCCTCTCCCTAAGGAGGCTGCAGCTCCTCTGTGCCTGGAGCTGCTGAATTAAAACAATGTCATGTTTACCTAAATCCCAAGTTTCTGTTTAGAGGGACAAAAAGAAAGAAAAAACAGGACCCAAGATCCCACAGCAGCTTTAAGGAGAAAGCAGGGATGAGTTTTTCCAACTTGCTCCCTTTGCTTCTACCCCAGCCAAAATGGGATCCCTGTTCATTTTGCAAGGGGGAATTTCATCTTTAGGTGCTTCAGTGTGAGCACTGCTGGAGAGGGGACTGCAGCACTCACTTGTTCTTTTCTCCTCCTTGAAAATTCTCACTCCTGCCTGGCCTGAAACATAATGATACATTTGACAGAAGACAAAACACATCTCACTTTTTAAATTTTCTCTTTTTTTTCCTTTTGAGAGAGAGATGACCTCCATAATAAAACTTAGTGGAAAAAAAAGCTGAAATTTAAAGTCATTTGACAACCACCTTGCCTTCCAACAAGGGAACACGTAATGGCCTTTCTGCAGAGAGACTTGCTAAAATCTGCCTCAAAATGGTTTCCCACACCTGATTGCTCACATGTTCACCAACTATTTTCTCCCTACCTAATTATAAAAACGAGGAGGCCAAGGATAGCACATTTTGAAAGTCCCTGGAAAGCTGAGCTCAGCTTCCAGTTCAGATGGCTTCAGTTCTTTCTCTCTCTCTCTCTCACCTGCCTCCAGCACCTTTTTACTCCCCCACATCCACCAGATGGTCCAGAACATGCTCAGCCATCGGGGCTGGGGGCCTCAGCAGGGCAGGGGATGAGCTCCATCCATCCATCCATGGAGCAAGGGCGCTGCTTCCTCGCTGTCCTCTCCTCTGGCCTCACTGCCAGAGGGCAAATCCTTCCCCTGGCTCTGGTGGAGATGAGCATGCCCAAGTGCTGAGCCACCAGGTCCCCAGCCATGCAAGCAGGAGTGCTCAGGGTGAGCCAAACGTGGGCCAGGAGCTCTCAGTCCACTCTCAGTCCACGTACTGGGTCCGTCCCAGGTAAGGGATGTCCACGGACTGGATGATGCGGCCCGCCGTGCGCTCCTCAAAGATCACAATCTGCACAGGACAGAGAGAAAATCCCTTCTTGCAAAGCCTGGGGCTGCAAAAATGCTTAGGAGAAGCATATTTAAAGCACCATTTCAAGAGCTCAGTCAGTGTGGGTCTAACAAGGACTGAGGCTCTGCCTTGGGGATGAAGCAGCATCACCCAGGTTTGGGGTGATTTCCAGCCTGAGGCAGAGCTGTGAAGTTCAGCTGCCATCCCTGAATGGCTGTCAGAGCCAGAGCCAGCTTTGGAGCAGCACCTTCCCTCGTTTTCAGAGATCTCAGGAGACAGCACTGCCCTTCCCCTCTGTGGCACTGGCTTTCAGCTAAAGGTTAATTGCTGTCCTGTGTGTGCCTGGCTCTATGGGACAAGGATCTTTAACAGCCCCAACAGGCACAGAGCAATCCCAGCAGAGCCTCTCACCTCGTTGCCCCCTCTCCTTAGCCAGGGCCCTGGAAGGTAAAGAGTTTCCTGAGGTCCAATCTTCCAGTATCTTCCCAGGTTCTGACCATTGACAAACACCACTCCTTTCTCCCAGCCCTGGAATCAAGGCAGAACATGAAATTACTGATGCAGCTCTGCTGCCTCGTTAGCATCCCCACAGGAAACCAAATCTGCTTTCACACTTGCATTCTTTCCAGCCACTTTCTGCAGGTTTTCTGCTTGCTTTCCCTGTGCAAATCCCTGCAGCCAGGGAAAGGGATTTAAACGAGCCCTGCTGAACAGGAGTTATCCTTAATGTGCTCATTAAAAGGATAAAGCTTTCAAAAATGTGCAATTTGTGATTCGTGCTTGTATGGGAAGTTTCTTCCCTTTGAACAGACGGGCCTTTATTCCTCCCCAAGCATGGAATAGCTGCCCTCACCTCTTTCCCAGGTGATAGAAACACTGAATTGCTGCTGGCTGGCCTGATTTACAGCAAATAGAATTTTCCCAATACATGGAAAAGTGAGCAGGACAGTAGGGCCAGGCACAAGGTTGGCTCTAAGGGAGGGAAATCAGAGGAGGAAGTTTAATAATATTTAAAATCTCATGTGAAGTTCTGTGCAGTCTCCCACAGAAGCATGACAGGAATGCTAACTCCCATGCCACGGCCACAAAGAAGTGACTCTTTCCATGTCACACTGAGGAGACAGGAATAAAACAAGGCCCTCCTTTATTTTCTGTGCCCATTACTCCTCTGCAACTAGAAAAGAGCATTTGCATGCCAGCAAAATAAGACTGAAGTGGTCACGGGCAGCTCTGCAGGGTCAGTTTTCTCACAGGACCTCCCCACACTGAACAGAATTACCTGGAGGAGACCCTCAGAATAATTCCCTAAGAGAGAGGGGGAGGCTACAGACACAGAGATCAGTCAGAGCTGCTGCACAAGTCTCTCTAACCAGTTTTTTTTAATAAAAACTTGACCAAGAAGAACCAGGACTTGCCTGCAGCTTCAGGAAGGTGTCCTGTGGCTGCTGCTCTATCCACAGCCTCCCGCGGAAGAACGCCGGCCCCACGAAATAATCCGGGACTGAGCTCCAGCCAGACACGTGCTGCAGGCTGCAAGAGAGGGACACCTCACTGCCCACGGGGCCACCTGCCTGTCCCCACCACCCACAGCCCTGGCAGGCCAAGCTGGGCTGCAGAGGAGATGCCTGGGGCTGTCACCACCCCTGATGTCAGCACTTCAATGTTTTTGACAATAGTGTGGGAAAGGATTCAGGCTGGAAGAGAGCAGGTTGGGATTGGGTATTAGGGAAAAATTCTGCCCTGTGAGGGTGTGAGCCCTGGCAAACGTTGCCCAGAGTATCTGTGGCTGCCTCATCCCTGGGAGTGTCCAAGGCCAGACTGGAGCACCCTGGGATGGTGAAGGGGTCCCTGCCCATGGCAGCAGTGGGATGAGAGGATCTTAGAAGTCCCTTCCACCCACACAATTCTGGGATAAAAGCTCTGCTTCACTTTGGCTGCTGAGGATCCTTCAGATCTGCCAGGGTGCTTGAGATGGCTGTGGCTTGCTAAAGGAGACTGCAGAAGTGACAGGATTCAAACCAGACACTCCTGCCATGGCTCCTGGTGAGGAACACAAACACATCCCTGCAGTGTGCAGCAATCAGGGGGATCTGACATGATTTCTTACCTGTGGCAACCATTTGGGAGCAGGGCACAAGCAGAGGAAATAAGGAGAGCAGAATCCCACAGAAGCCTTGAGCTCCTGTAAGAACATGTTCCCTCCAGCCCTTACAAACTGCATCTCTTGGACTGGGGGAAGTTATTGATCCAGTGCAGCCTGGCTGCTACTGAATTATTCAACTTAAAGCCTGTGACAGCTCCTTTCACAACACTCCTCTCCCTCCTCCCCCAGGGGACTGTGAGCTGATTGTGTTTCAGTGCTGCTGGTCAGCAGCCAGGAGCTGAGGCTACTGGTGACTAATCTTGCTTTTGTTTGGCCATGGCAGCTCACTTGCTTTAATGCTCCTCACTGGAAATATTCCTCTAACACCCTGCAGTCCAAAAGACTCTGAGTTACCCCATCAATAAGAATCCTTCAGGTAGCTCCTCAGCACCTGGTAAACTGCCCTGAGGCATTTCAGAATGAACCTTGTCCCTTTTAAAAGCCTTTTTATTTTAATGTGGCCTCTCCCTCTCCCTCCTACACAAAATGGGGCAGCTGTGATATCTTGGGGGATGCACATAAGTTGCTTGCTGGTATTAAAAACATCACTGAAAAGAGTCTCTGGACTGTGGCCAGAGTCCTTAGGGCATCTGCTGCCTGAAACATTTGCTGAGGTTTTCTCTATCTGCTGACAGAGGCTCTTCAACATCCCCCTGCTAAATTTCCTCCCTTGAATTAAAGCAAAACAACATAAAAGAGAGGGAGCCATCTGGATTGTTAATGCATTATCAGTAGCTTTCTAGAATTAATCCATCCCTTGCCAGGCTGAATTACTAAATATATCAGCCAGATTGGTAATTTCCAGAAAGACCCAAAATTTCCAACATGTGGGTGTGAGGGGATCCTTCCCTTTGGATAAGCCTGGATTTACCTACCTGATCTCACCCTGCTGCCAGGAAACCTTTAAACCCCACACAGTGGGATTAGATGTCTCCCTAAATGATGGTTTGGATCAGCTGGCACCAGTTCCTGCACTATTTCAGGCAAAAGTATCAACAAAAGTAGCAGTACAAAAATCCACTCCCCACTGTTACCTCATTTAGCTGCTCCCCATTAGACACTGCACTGCTGGAAAGCAGGTGGTTTGAAATGAAGAAGGAAAAAGAAAATAAAGGTTAAAATCCCACAAACCTTTTCATGAAGGCAGGTTTCATCTCCAAGCTGTAAATCTTGAAGTTCCTCAAGGGGGTTTTATTCAAGAAGATGTCACCAATTAAGCCTGTGAGAGCAATGGGGGTAATGAGGAGTTGAGGAACAGCTAAAGCTGATGGATTTTGCTATTTGAATCTGAGGAACAGCAGGAGATGGAAAGCAGCCACGTTCTGCAATGGAATTAGAGTCCATATGGTCCCATTGCTCATGCAGATTGAGTGGGGAGCATCTCTAAACTCTGCCCTCTCCATTCCCTCCTTTCCTCAGCTCAGCAGGGCCCCCAACCCTCCCAGGAGAACCCCCTGGGATGTGATGGGGCCTGTGGGGTTCAAGATGACCATGCACAGATTGTTTTTAAAGCAGTCAATCACTTTTTAAAGCAGTCAATCACTTTTTAAAGCACTCAATCACTTCTCTAACAGGCACAGCAAAACACAACCGAGCCAGCACCAACGCCCAGGGCCGCTCCAGGGCTTTTCATCCCAGGATTTTAAGGCACCTGAA